AGTAAAATTGTAAATGAAAGGTGTAGTTGACTAACTGTTGTAAGAGTCGTGTAAAGGGAATTGTGTGAACATAATCCCCATCATATAGGTCTTCGATGTGTCCATAATTTTAGTAATCCCAGAGTCGGTGGTCTAGTTGCGCCTGCATGTGCAACATCACGCAGTAAAACCAATTCGTTCCTCGCACTCCGCTCAGAATCGAAAAATAAAGCCGGGAAACTTTGCACACGGGCGGGCTACTGCTGTAGGCGAGAAATTGGGAAGGTAGTAGAGGGGAAATGTAATGGTTATCTGTATAAGTAACGACAAACCATTGCTAACGAAAAAACGATCCTGAGCGGAGTTCAGTTGATAGTATTGCTTTGTCAACAATAATATACATAATATGGCTGCATATTATGGTAAAATAATTGTACAGGCATTATATTATATTTTTTTTAATATTGTATCTATTTTCCCGGTTTTTCCTTTAAGTTTTTCTCGGTTTTACCATATTTTTCCCCGTTTGTTGAGAAAATAAAAAAAATAACCTCCGTAAAGTACCACTCCGGTCAGATTTCCTTTTAGAAAAAGTGCTATCATTGTAAATCGGCGCGAAATTGCTGGTAGAAAAGTTGTTCACAGAGGGAAAAAAAACCATCATTGCGAAACCAATACATACCCGCGTAAACACATTTCGCGTTTCGAGCGAACCACACTGTATAATATTATTATAATACGCGCGCGTGTAACACATTCCGGACCTCACGCGCGCTTTATAACAATAATACAGATTGTATCCTGTCCGTTATTTTATACACCAGATATATTCATATATATATATATATGTATACATTATATTATTAACATAATGTTAGGATTTTACATATTTAAAAACGTTCAATATGCAATTTATTTGCATCGCGTGCGTATATCAATCGAGCACTAATTTCGCGAGTGTAAACGCTCGCATTATGGCCCGGAGTCACGCGCGATCCGTCGATCATTGTACCGTATATATATAAATATTAATTATAGGTATAGGCAGGTAAATATCAGAGATGGGAAAATTTTAAAAATTCGATGTTCGGATACATTTTCGTTTTTGAAAACCGAAACACAATATAGAAATATCGACGATACCTATATCGACTATTAATAATAATATTATGCGTTAAAACTGCGCCGGTTTGAAATCTGGACGTAAAAACACACAGTAAAATACCGAAATCGACACCGCGTTAAAAGTCACCTCGATTTCGACATATTGATAATAGGTATATCGCGTCTTAATATACTTATACTTAATATACGGGGCTATTTAAATTTCACGTATACGGTCGAATTTTCTATGAAATACTCATTAAAAAAAAAAAAAAAAAAAAATGAATTTTGTTAAAAACCTTTTGGAATCGTATGGTTATATACACTGTCCTTGTGATTTCGGGCGCGAAACGACTAAGAAATTTTGATTTTAAAACGATAACTTATACTAAAAATACTATGAATAGACGGAGCGTGTTATAATTTAATTGCGATTCATTTCTGGATAGTATCGATTATCTCGTAATACGTAAATCAATGCATCATAGTAAAGAGTGTCAATACATTATTGCAGTGTATATATTATACACCTACTCATCTCGTCCAAATCGGCACCCGCGGAGGAGGGGGGGGGAGATAGGTGACAAACTGGTAGATGAGTGGTAAACTCGGTCGATTCCCCCCGTTGGCTTTTTGAAAAATACATATTTAAAATCGGAAGCCATTGCGGTAGAAAACGAGGGGAATATGCTGGGAATTTCGAAAAACGTTTCGGGTAATATTATAATGACCGCCGCGTCATTTATGTACTATTATATACTCTGCGCGCGTGAGCGATTTAGATTTTTTTCATTTCGATATAATAACATATCGATAGTATCGCAATACTCGCTTTTCACGAGTATCTGGCATATCGTCTCGCCGTCTCGATACTGAAAGCCTGCAGTGTAGATGAATATCTATGATAGCGAGGTACACATATATTCATTTGAACGTATCTCGCGGTCAGAGGCGCCAGGTTTCGAAAATGCCATGTGGGGGCTCATTATTTCATAAACCCATCATGTATAGTTATACCTAAATCTTACCTTGATACATGTAAAAATTGGTCGTTAAACAATTATTAAAATATAGTTATTTGTTGTTTTGTAATTGTATAGCGTCGTGAAGAATCCTAAGACGATCTAAATACTTTTTCTCTGCTGTCAATGTCCAAAAAAAAAAAAAAAAAACTTTTATCTTTTTCAATTAATTTGTTCTAAATAGAATTAGGACGTGCATGACAAATATTGTTTTTTTTTTCTAATATGAGAACCGTGAGAGGCTGAGTTCCGTCTTATCAAGCTCACGGGGGCCTGCAGCCCCAGAACCCCCTGTAAAAGGCGCGCCTGCACGCGGTACGTTCCTGATTCAACGAAGACGCGGATTTTCGACGCCGATTACATTGTACGTCTGTATATTTTCATTGTGGTATTTTTCCGAAAGCGTTCGCCGGCGCACAACGATAAAAATTCGATTATTATTATACCGCACCGAACGATTAATGTACGAAAAAACGTTCCCACGGAACGTTAACGACCGCGGCTATTTAATTTTAATTTACTTTTTGATTTTACGAAAATAATAGAAAGATTGTCACACGCTATAATATTCGAGCTGGACTATTATTGGACACGGCGGCGGCGAAACGTATTTATAATTGACACGGGAAGACGTTATTAATATTCCATCGAGACCCTAAACGACCGACGACGACGACGACGCCGCCAAGACGACAGCGGTAGATCCGTGGGAAGGGGGGGGGCGATAGGTTTGTTTGACCCCCCCCCCCTAACTCCTCCTGCGAACACCGCAGTACGTGGCTACGGATAATAGAGACGCGGATATCCTTTTACCTTATCGGCGATCCGAGATTGGTTCATAAAATGAGGCGTTTTTTTCCTATTACAACTATATAAATTGTATCTGTGGCGATTTATATTTGCGCCCCATAGTAACATACGCGTGCGTTACACGGGCTCAGGTCAAAAGGCGACGAAGCATAACTCGCTATTTTTTGAAAGAAAAATCCCGAGAAGAATCTATGGACCGGTGTACGTAATGTGCAGGATATAGAAACTTTAAAAAGGAGGAAAAACCATTGAACCACGAAGACTTTATAATAAACCTAATGTTTGCCAATTTCTTAACGGCAAACGATTAGAATGAGCTGGGCACGTACGGCACGCGGAAGGAAGTCTCACGTACGAAAAGTTCTGGTTAATAAGTCGAGCGGAAATAGAACCGTTGGGAGAAATCATCACGCCTGCAGAGGTGGATGGACACGGTGAACAGAGACTATATTAACAAGCATTAACAAGCAACTTATTACAGCATTATAGTTTGGCGTCTGATAGAAATCAGCGGAGAGGAATATTATTTTAGAAGCGGTATAGGACCTTAATGGTCCGTTTTGAGCCTGAGAAGAAGAAAAAGAACATATGTGGCGATAATACTATTGCAAGTTATACGCGTTTTAAGTGAGTAAGTTAGCGAGCAATTCTGGAAGTAAGTATTTATGTGACGTCAATTCAACGACGCATAAAAATATTTAAATTTTCGAAATAACTTATACGCGTTTAATTTTAAAATCGCATTTATACGCATTTATACGAATGAATAATATACATTTTTTAACGATAAATATTATTACGCGGTTGTATATTATATACCTACGTCGTAATAGTGTTTTAAATAAATTATTGTTATTAAAATAAACCGGTTGTCGGATTGATAAACTAACCGGGCGCGAGTTTTAACGACATAAAAAAGCGTCAAAAATTGTTGTTTTTTTATACGCGTTTCATTTTTTATGTTGAATTTTACGGTTTCGCGTATACACATAAATAATTATTATATAAAAAAAAAAAACCAACGCATTATCGACTTCTCCGTTTTTTAAAGACTCTTATTTTCAAACATTATATTATATTATTACGCGCGGATAATAAACCGATTATTTTTCAATAATTGAACATTATAATATAAATATTTTTTAATTCTTTCGTTTGACGATATTTCCAATAGCTTTATGTACACGCATAATATATGCCGATAAATAACACTAAATTATTCACGAGTATCGATAATATTGTAATCAATGGTAATTCTACGAATATTAATTATCTAACACGTTACTATAATATAGCAATTATTGCCGTGTAATGTATCGTATTACCTGTACGACGACGGTGTGTAGGAAGCGTTCGACCGCCGAACAATTTGTGTGCGTATCGAATTGAAAAAAAATCAAATTTCTTTAATTTGTATAGTTTGGTTAGACGCGCAATTTAAAATTGCGTTTGCAAAATACAGAAATCCAAAATCGTACGACGTGAAGTATAGATAATTCTCGTTGTACGGGTATTCCAAAAAGGAGTAAAGTCTTTTGGTAACTCGCTGTTTTCAAACCATAATTTCTCGGGTTATTATACACGAGCGTTCTATTATAGCGCCACGTGATCAAGTTCAAAAGGTCTCCGCTGCAGCGGGGTGTGACAGATGCACATTCCAGATTTCCCCGCAATACTTTCCCGCGACTTCTCACCTTCAACTGTGGCCCACCGGTCGCGCGAAGTATGTCCGTATTTATTGTTATTATTATTATTATTATTATTATTTTTTTTTGTTCGTAATTTAATTCGACTTATTCGCATATTATGTGTAAAATCGTCAAGTCATTATACAACGTGTATTGTACGTACACGCGGCCGGCACAAAACGCGTACGGCGGCGCGTCATCATCGCGACCCACCCCAACGGTAAACGCATCGACGAGGGTGCGGAAAAACAGCTGGAGGTCCCCGGCCGGACACCGTGTGCGCGCCACTCGTCGTCGCCGTTCGGCCGGCCGGCCGCGGAAGAGAGACGGGCCGGCCGGTCGTTTGCCGACAGTTCCGCGGACGCATCGCACAAAAGTCACCACCGTCGTCGGCGGCGTTCGCCCCAATCGCGCCGGATGACGTCAACATTTGTATTATAATAATAATATAAACACACTCGCGTGTTTTCGGGACGCGGAGCGCACTGTCCCCCTCGCCTCTTTGACATTTTTTTTTTCCCTCTTTCCCGTTTCGAGTGTCGGTAAATATTTTTACACCGTCACGCCTGGGTTTTGAATTCGAATCGCTGTACTTTTCGGCCGGACAAAATACCACGTATTCGACGTGTTGCCGGTACAGGAGCCGGAGCGGCGCGAGAGCTAGAAAGTATATTTTTTTTTTTTTATTACACTCCGAGTAAAACGAACACATTTAGAACCCGTCCGCCCTATACACGGATACGTTCCATTAATAACTTTAATTTTCTACAGCAAAACCCTTACGCGGCGTCGCAGACTATACGCGAAGGCTACAATATCGTATTCGTAATTGTACGCGTATAACAATCGAATAGAATACACAAAATCTCTAAACGCTAGTTCAGAAGGAACCCATAGCTGTTAATGATCTATCAAAAACAACAATCTGAACGTGCGAGTTGCATTACCTTGTCACCTTGAAACCTGTATAGCAACCGCTGTAGTAAATTGTACAATACTATTATTGAGGAGTGTTCAAATTCTTACGTACAAAAACGCATACATTTGAAAATTGATCCTTTTTTCTTTTTTTTTTTCGATCAGCGTAAACGCGTTACATACAGAACGACACAGTTTTCTCGAATCCGATATATGTATCTCCCTCGTCGTTAATATCCTAAATTCGTCACCGCATCCACGTATAATGCGTGCGTACACAGGAAACCACTCGTCCGCACACAACAGGTATACAGGGTGATTGTTTTCACCGGCCAACGTTTCGGATTTCGGCAAGTCTTGAACAATTCCCGAGATTGAGCGCGTTCGGTCGTGCAGAGGGTGCCGTTTAAAGTGTTCGAAAATGGCGCGAAAAAAGACGTACAATACAATAAAATAGTCTACATTTTCCGGGGAATTCGTGGGGGAAAAAAAAAACCCCCGGCATAATGTACTCGAAATCTTCGTATATGTGCAGTGATCGTGCACACATACAATACGGTTGTGGTCCATGGCGATAAACGAATCACCCTGTATATGATATATGGTATATATACGTACATTACCATCGCTCGCAGTGGTGGGTACATACAACAAAATGTTATACTACGTACAATGTGTGTTTGGAACGAATTTTACAGCCCGTAATAAAGTACGATTTGTCGGACCCGGCATTGTGCGGCGGGCAACACGCGCGCATTATTTTGGTCTCCGACCGACCGACCCGGCCAGGTGAACGTGTACAAAATATAACAATAATATTAATAATAATACGTGTGCCTATATAATGTCTGTAATATATGACTACGTGTGCGTTAGGTATGTGTATGTGTGTTAGGTGTGTGTGCGTGTGTGTGTATACTACCCGGACAGACCGGGTGCCGCCGCCTCCCCGCAACGAGGGTTCCGATATAAAATAAAATAATAATACTGCGCGTCGTATACACAATATAAATATATATCATATAGTATTGTGTAGTTTTTTTTTGTCCTCCCCCGGTTTTTGTAAAAAGAAAAACCGCGTATAATATACGCGGCACACACGGGGGCGCGCCGTTGCGCGCAGGTACCTACACCGGTATTGCACTGCACCGCGATAGTATAAATACCTACTGCGCGAGACACCGATAAATTGCGAGGTATAGACACGACGTTATCACGATGACGGCGAGCCGCAGACGTTATTCAGATCGCAGACTCGATAAACCGTTGGGACATTTCGTGTTGATAATATTCGGATGACGGCTAGGTAACGCGGCCTTTCCGGGAAGAATTTTCGGACCGTGCGCGAGGATGCTCGAACCGGGGCCCGGAGGACAAGACACATTCGGGAACACCGGGATCTTTTCGACTCCCTGGCGTTACAAGCGAATTTTCAGTGAGAATAATAAAACGGTCTGGACATGCGCGGAGAAAATATGGATCAATAATAAGAGGATTATAATCGGAGACGACCGTTGAAGAGAAGACGTCGCTCGAAACGGGAGGATTGTGTTGTCGGGGATGTAAGAGAGGTAAAACCAGGAGTACTGAAATGGAAAGAGGTAGAAAACCGCCGTTAAAAATAATAATAAGAAGAATATTCGAAAAACCTCAATAAATGTTCCGGATTAAGTACAAGTAAACGGATTGAGAAAAATAACGTTCAAATTTAAATTGGGAGAATAATAGGATTCGTTTCTAAGTTTTGCCCCTTGAATCTCTATACATTTGGTTTACCTCCAGCAGATCCTTTTGAAATCCTCAATAATACTTTGGACAACGATTTCGAAATTAAATTTTTCAATACGAATTTTCACCAACACAGCGTCAAAAAGAAAAAAATAATATAGCTGATGTTGTTGATGGGAAGTCGAGAAGGTAGGGTATAATAATATTGAGTAATTTAATTTATGTCCGCACTGAACGAAAAACAATTCTGAGCAAAGTTCGGTGTGCAATACCGCTGCAATATTCGCATTATGAAAAATATGTAAGCCGATCCCGCGCGTTCGTATACATTCATAGATTTATAATATTAAACATTCGTTTCGTTATTGACGATGTTGAGCTGTTGTTTTTTTTTTTTTAAATTCAAATACTTACTTTCCGGCAAAATATAATATTATATAATTTTAGCATACTCGACGACGATTCGAAAACAGAATACGATAATAGACTGCGCAATCGCAATAATCGACTGACAGGTATAGAGATGATGATAGTGTTCCATTAATTGAAGTTAATAAAATATCAACTCACCTGAAACAAACAAAAAAAAAAAAAAAAAAAAAAAAAAACGTCAAACAAATACGATAATAACAATATTTCGTGATCGTTAAACATGTTTTAAAATGTCGTGATTTTACGATTTTCGTCAAAAATTAAAATAAAAAATACTACGTTTAGCTCAACTTTTTTTGAAAACTGAGTATAAATTATTATAATGAACCTCGTGTAAAAGCATTTCTGCTCGGCCAAAATAATTGTATTCACATAAAACCGAATCAAAACTAAACAAAAAAATACCCGACAATGTTAAATGCGTTTAGAAAGTTTCACCACGTCAATAAAATTCAACAGTATAAATGTTTTGTGAAAATTTCAGGTCGTTACGATTGTTCTCAATCGAATTATAAATAATAAAAAAAAAAAAAAAAAAAATCGAAAATAACTGAAACCGTTAATGCCGTAAACTTTTCCCGTGTTTCCTGCACGGTTTTTTCTCCGGTTGTTCGCAACCGTTAATCGAACTGCCGGGAAAATATTTAAAAAAAAAAAAAAAAACCCCAGATCTCTTCGATGTCCCGACTATAAACAAAATATGGGGATAAAAAAAAAAAAAAAACAAACGCTACATTCGTAAATCGGAGCGAGATTTCCGGCGTAGCAACAAGACTGTTCACAGAAGGGCGCACGGAAAAAAAAAAAAAAAAAAAACCCCA